AGGACTCGTGGGCTGAACATTACTGATGAAAGAAATCAAAAAAGATCAAAATAGAGAGACATACCATGTCCATGGTTTGAAAGACTCAACGTCGTAAAGATGTCAATCCTCTGCTTCCTCTATGCGTATTAACTGTGTAGAAAAATGGGGGAAATATATTACTTAGAACAAATTTGGAAACATTTGCTTTGTCTTCTAGGGAGGTAGGGAGATAGAGGCAAGACAAATTTTCCACTCTGCTTGCTCCTTTCGTTTACAGTGAAATGAAGAATGGTGCCAAGGGAAAGGAACTCCTGAAATGTCAATGCTTCTCCTAGTTTTCCTGTGATACTAGAGGAGGCATCTGAAGACGAGTAGAGTCCCTTTACTTGGTAGAGCACACAAAGCATGCTGAGCACTGTGATGTGTCACCCAGCTCTGCCTTCAGGGAAAAGGGATGTATTCCCCAGCTGCTGGGAGTGCTGGCAGAAGACAGCTCTCAGCTGTCAGCCCTCTTCAAGGATTGCTTCCACAAGAAAGAAAATTGCCTCCCCCAAGATCCTGTCTCTTTTAGGGACAGGCTGCATCCAGTATCTAAATTGGTGCTGGGAAATAAAGACCCAACTCCTTGCTCCAAATCAGAACAACTCTGAAGAATCATCCCAGCTTCAGAGCAACCTGTCGGATCAGCTAAGGCCTCCACTGACACTTAATAGAAATCAATTTCTCCTTCTACCTTCCCGATCTTTCCCTTTCCTTCCACAGATATTGATTCCAAGAGCATTTCCTAATAAATACCCCCATGTGCTAATCTCCAATCTGCTTCCTGAGTAACCCAACCTGCAATCACGGGTGCCAAGAATGGTCCAAGAAAGCACACGCTGGTATAGAATCATGCAACTGGCATGTGGACCCCATCACTTACGGTGAAGCTCAGATAGCTCCTGGTGATGCTGAAAGGGTGTTGGCTGTCGCTAAACTTGATTGTCACTTTGAAACCCCATCTCTACTAAAAATACAAAAATTAGTCTGGCGTGGTGGCGGGCACCTGTACTTGCAGATACTTGGGAGGCTGAGGCAGGAGAATTGCTTGAACACAGGAGGCAGAGGTTGCAGTGACCCGAGATCGCATCATTGCACTCCAGCCTGGGTGACAAGAGCAACGCTCTGTCTCAAAAAAAAAAAAAAAATAACAAACAGCTGAGGGTAATTAACTGGCCACTTAAAGCTACGTGTAAAAGCCAGAGAGTTTTCCTGGGAGCATATAAGAAGGCTCTGATCTGCTGCCAAAGGGCAGAGAAAGCTGAGGACCAAAGCTAGACTTAATTGCAAAGGTAACCAAGCTCTTAACCTAACCCTTGTTACAGTCAAGGCCCCACTGGGAAAGAATGGGATGCTGACACATGGGACAGGGATATCTGGGCTAACATAACCAAAATTTTGATCCAGAGATTGAGAATAGTCATGTCAATAAAAAGTCATGGTCCTGTGTCCAGTTTTTGTACCCAAGCCAGTTTTCAGACCCAGAATCCATTGACTAAAGCAGAGATAGGTCTTAGGAGGAAGGATTCAGCAACACCCGAGCAAGTATACATGGTAGTGATTCTTGCAGTCTTTCCCTAAGAGGTCCTACAGCCGTCTACTTAGGCCGCTGTACACTGAGGGAACAGGAATACCCAAACAGTTCAAGGACTGTCAGCACAGGATATCCATTGGCACTGACACCTAGAGACCCAAAGCTCCACCATGCCCCCCCAATTATAGTTGGGGGTATTTGGGGGCCAGGTAATATATGAACTCTCAGCCAGATTTGACTTGCAGTAGGCCTACTGGGTCTACGGATTCACCTGGTGTTCATTTTTGTGGTTCCCAGATAGTTAGAATAAACTCACTTGATAGTATAACGTCTACATTAGTTTCATGGTCTCTGGGATAAGACCTATCAGAATGGGGAAGGCCTTCAGAAAAACTAAAACAGCCCCTCTCAGCCAAAACAGTAAATCAAAAGCAATACTGTGTCCCAGAGGGAATGGCACAAATTAGTGCCACCCTTATAGACCTAAAGATGCAGAGGTTGTGATTATTCATTACCTCCATTTTATTCACAAAGCTGGACCTTGTAAAAACTAGATAGATGCTAGAAGATGACATTGGAGTGCTGTAAACTCAGCCAAGCAACTGCAGCTGCTGTGCTGAATATGGTGTCTTTGCTATAAATTATTAACCTGGCCTCTGATATGTGATATATTATAGCCTTTCATCAGGCAAATGCATTCTTTTTCATCCCTATCAGAATAAAAGTATCAAAACCAGTTTGCATTCAAGATACATTTGTAGTTTTGCTCCTGGTCTATGTTAACTCTCCTGCTCTCTAGCGTAATAGTACAAAGAGATTAACCTGGTTTTGTTCCCGTGGCCACACAGAGCAGGGAACCTGACTGCAGTCCCACCTATCTGGAACTACAGAGAAAGAGTTAATTCCACCAAAGAAAGGGGAAGTTCCATCAGGAAGGGGCAATGGAGGCTGGGCAGCCCCAAAAACAAATGTCCCTAGAATCATCTGACTACAGGGAGAAGAGTGTCTTGCCTCTTTCAGATGCTTCACTCACACATCCATTCATATACTCACCTACTCATTCATATTTTTTCATACTAAGCTGTCTTATCTGGGAGGTACAAAAGATGAAACATGGTCTCTGTCACTGGGTACTTACCATTGTCCTGGGGTCAGAAAACAGGCATGAAAACCATGATTAAACCACAAAGGATGGAGTACAGGCCAAAGACTGGAGCAGTTGTTATCCAGTTACCAACAGAAGTCAATATCCTTAGAGATTTAAATGAAGTGGGCCAGGGGAACAAAGTCAAGTCCATCGTGTATTCCCTTCCTGTAATTTTAAGCTTTATCTGAGGGAGACAGAGAGTGGAAGAAGGTGGCATTCATTCATCCCCACTGTGCTCCCCACTGGACCAGTCTGGCTTCTTATTGAATAAGCTTATGAAGCTTCTTGCTGCCATTCTTGGGCAAGATAAACTCATCTCTTAGCACCTAAATTTCTTTGATATTAAATGCATACACTACTACCTATATCTTAAAAAAGTTACTGTAAAGATATATATGTCAAAAAAAATAGTAAACACCCAACAAGAATTCTTGCATTGTGGGAACTCGCCCTAAGTGAGTCCCCGCTATACCCTCTCCTTTCTCTATTTGTCCCGGAATCCAACATTGCAGCACCATGCTTCATGATGGAAAAGTGAGGTATAAATCGACATCTTTGCTTTAAATAAGCTTCACTGGGAACTGAATCCACTGACCTGCTGTCATTGTAAAAGCTGAGTGTGTTCAATAAATTGTTTTAAAAGAAATCCATCAATCGATGGCTATCTGCTATTCAATTATCTGCCAGTTCTATTCTCCTTGGCTAATTTATTCTTTTTTTTTTTTATTAGAGATGAGACCTCGCTATGTTGCCTAGGCTGGTCTCAAACTCCTGGACTCAAGCATCCCTCCCACCTTGACCTCCCAAAGTGCTGGGATTACAGACGTGAGCCACCACACCTGGCCCAGCTGCTTTATTCTTAACTGTGTCTGAAATAAGCCTGATCATGCATAAACTCACAGTGATATTCTTGTAGAGTTTAACAAACCACTTGCATTTTTCCATGTCTTCCTTATATTTTCATATATTGTTTAGTTTAAAAATAAGATGAATGATTTATAAAGTCAGAAAAATAATGATACTAAGAATTGAAACAAAATCACTGACGTATGTTCCTGCTGTGTCACTAACACAGGCTGTGTGCCCTGGGATAAGCCCTATACCCTCTCTGGGCCTCAGTCATCTCATCTGTTGAATGAGGGGAATGAATCAGATGTTCCCTCATGGTCCTTCTGAGGATCTTGGCCTCTATGTGTATGTCAGTCTCTCCCCGCCCGGAATAGGATATTTTACAGCATGACTAGCCAGCAGGAAACTCAATCTTCTCCAAGTCCCAGCAGGCACAGCAGCAAGCAGAATTCTGTAAAGTGGGCAGTGCCTGGCGTGTCCCAGAATAACAGTCAACAATCAAATGCAGAAATCAGCCTTATTGCTGTAAAGTGCAAGGCTGTGTCTGCTCCTCTTAGGTTCTGTTCCATCAGCTGCAAGCATCCAGGAGTTGGCCTGTTCACCGTGAGTCTGGTTTGCAGCCAAAAAACAACACGATGAACTATGCTCTCTGAGCAGGTGCGCTGACCACAGGGAAGGGATGCTGAGTGTTAAATAAACACAAAACCAAATCACCCTTAATGAACAGATTCATTGAGACACACATCCTAACTACCTAGACAATAAGCATGAGAAATGGGTGCGTAAATACAGTCTTACCATGATTTTTCTTTTCTTAGTCCAACCAGGCTGATTTCTATTCAGGCTTTAGCTGCGGCCCCCGAGTATTATTACCTGCTAATTATCATAATGGGCACCTGAGCAAGAATGGCTTGATAAATTGCTCATGCACTGGTGTATTTAGTAGGGCATTCATTCAAGCAGCCAGAGCATTCTTCATCCTTCCATTGGAGTGGAAAATAACCAGTAGCAAAGGCAGAAGAAAGATATGGGTAATAAATGTTATGAGGGAGGGAGGGTAAGGAGAGAAGGGAGGGAAAGGAGGAGAGAAAGGGAGGCAAGGAAGTCTATCTAATGACAGAATATCAGACCTCACTTGGTCAGCATCCACAGAGGGTACGGGTTGGCTTGGGAGACCCACTGTGGGTTTAGCTTTGTCTCGAGGCCAGCCTTTGCACAACATGTGCCAGGAGACCAGCTGTCTGGACGTCGAAGGATACTGGCAAACACAAAGCAATGGGGACAGGGAGAGAGAAAGCGCAGTTCAGGAAAACCCATCACATGTTAGGAAACAGTACAGTTCTCGAGAGGCAGCATGGGATAGTTGGGAAGGAATATGGGCTTTGGAGAAGCCTGCCTGAGCTTGATTCCCAACTTTGCTGCTGACTTACAAGCTGTATGGTCTTGGCCAAGCTACTCAATCTCTCTGTTACGTACTTTCCTGACCTACAAAGTACGGTATACATAGATTGGCAACGGCCACAAATATTTTGTAGCTCTTTCCTTTGAGAGGTGGAGCCTATTTCCCCACCCCTTGAATCTGGGCTGCCTTGTGGCTGATTTTGCCCAATAGAATAAAGCAGGGGTACTGTTGTATGAGTCCCAAGCCTAGACTGTGATAAATTTAGAAGCTTCCACTCCCTCTGTTGGAATTCTACCACCATGTGAATAGCCCAGGTTGGCCTAGGAGGATGAGAGGCTGTGTGAGGAAGAGATAAGTGGTTCCAGCTGAGGGTCCCTAATACAGTAGCCTGCCAACCACCAGACTTGTGAAGGCACTGTAGGTTGATTTGTGAGGTCAACCAGTCCCAGCCAACTCACCAGGAGACGGAAATCAGCTGAGCCAGCCAGAGGATCAGAAGGACTGCCCAGCTGACCTACAGAACGGTGAGCAATAACTTTTTATTGATTTAAGCTGAATGGTAAACACACCTGATAGCAGTAGTGTAAGCATGCCCTTAGAATGACCCTATGGCAGACGCACCTGAGTGTGTGTTTTGCGTTAGGGAGTCCAGGTGTGGCCAACTCAGAGATTAATTCCTTATCTATGAGAATCATCTGAGCCCCTGGTCAGTCCCATTAAATACAGGCTACACAGATTATTTGAGGCCCTGAGTTTTGGGTCAAATGAAGGTTGCCAGGTGGAGGTTGTTAACGGGAGGGTGTTAAGTCAAAATGCTACAGAAATTGCAGGCTGTTAGCAAGTGGTTGTGGTATCTTGCCCAGCCCACTACCACAGGGCTGTGCAGTTATGTTGTCTAGCCCACCACCACTAGGCCATTTCTGTATGTAAGGCAGTTCTCTCGCTCAGCCCACTACCACTGGACTCTCTCCCCTGTATGTAAGCCCCTAATAAAACCCCATGTCTCATTTGCTGGCTCTGGGTCTCTTCTTCAGTCTCTTGAACCTGGTGCCTTCCTTATTGGAGTGGTTAGGGGTTTGACACAGCATGAGCCACTATGTTTTGGGGCGGTTTGTTACACAGCCAAAGCTAACAGATACATGGGATTTCCATAATTCTAACCTCATAGAGTTTCTATCTATCTGTAAAATACTTCACTGCCTAGTATGTAGTAAATTTTCAATAAGATGTCTAATCAGGGGCTCAGATGCTCCTAATAGCCAAGGAATGAATCTCTGAGTTGGCCACACCTGGGCTCCCTCACGCAGAACACACATTCAGGTGCATCTGCCATGTGGTGATTTTAAGGGTGTGCTTAAGCTACTGCTATCAGGTGTGTTTCAATAGTTATTACTATTATTGTTTGTCATTATTATTATGTCCATTGTGTGAGGTAGGACAGTGTAACAGAAAGGGGTTTAGGGACCAGACAGGTCTGGATTCGAATCCCAGTGCCACTGCCCTGTGGATAAATGACTTCTCTGAGTTTCAGTCTGTTTATCTGTAAAACTGGGATACCAGTATCAATCCCGCAGGGCTGTTGCTGGTGTTGAAGATGTGTGAGCACAGCTTGGAGTAGGAATCTCAGGAAGAAACATGACCCCACCGCTTGTGCTGACTTTGCATTGCAAGGACAGCAGGACCCCAAGCACCCACTGTGTGCACCATCCCGAGCCCACCAGGCTGCCCCCAGTTCCTGGAGAGAGCATAGAGCCCTGAGGCACCTGCAGGGCTTACTTCACCCTCGGAGAGTTCTTATCTCTTGTTTGAAGTTGGACTGAGAAAATGCTCCAAAGATTGCACCTTACACATTTGAGGCACCTGAGAAACACCCGCCCCGTGACCTAGGCCAATTTGCTACTAGAATTCTGGTTCAATAACACAAGGATGTGTCTCCTAGCAAGCTTGATTTTGTTTTCTTTTGTTTTGTGACAGGGTCTCAGTCTGTCACCCAGGCTGGAGTTCAGTGGCATGATCTTGGCTCACTGCAACCTCTGCCTCCCAGGTTCAAGCAATCCTCCTGCCTCAGCCTCCCGAGTAGCTGGGACTACAGGCACACCATGTTGGGCTGATTTTTGTATTTTTAGTAGAGATGGGGTTTCAACCATGTTGGCCAGGATGGTCTCGAACTCCTGACCTCAAGTGATCCACCTGACTTGGCCTCCCAAAGTGCTGGGATTACAGACATGAGCCACCACGCCCAGCCGAGCTTGTTATTTTTAACATGTTCACTACATCAACATTTTTTTAATTGATTCCCAAACATGACATTTTGAAAATATAGTTTCACATCAAGGGTTTCTTATCTAGTAGGTCTCAGGTAGGTACTAGGAACCTGTGTTTTTAAAAAGCTGTGCAAATGATTCCAATGCACAGCCAGGTTTGGGAGCCTTTCAATTTAGTAAAATCAGATAATGGTACCTGCATTCTGAAGCAAGTCATTTAACTCGTTTGTTTTTGCTATTTGAAGTTTCATAATCTCTGATCTCATAGTTGTGTGATTAAGGGAGCCTCTAAATGAGAAAAACAAGAAGGGAAATCTAGTACATTCCTGAACAAGTCATTTATGGGTACTTTCAAAGACAATACTGGGAACATAATGGAAATTCCCCTGGCAAAAGCCTATGCCCAGCCCATGGATGAAGGCACTAACCTTGTGGTCATAGCCCTCTTGGGTGCAGCCTGGCTCACTGCAGGGAAGTGCGCTGGACCCTGGAGATACATGGGTGAAGAAAGGAGGTATGGCCTCTCCCCCTACAAAGCTCACATCTCATAGAGAAGGACAGACCAGTGTGTCATGACAAACTGTGATGAGCATCATGAAGAGAAAAAGCAAAGCGATAAACTAAAGAATAAGAGGCCAGAGCCCTTTAAATGAAGGCAGTCAGAGAGGGCATCTCTGAGGAGGTGACATTTAAGCTGAGACCTGAAGGAAAAGATCTCTTCCTCCAGGAGAGCAAGGTAGAAGATGCTGCAGTAGGAAATGGGGTGTTATTCTAAACAGCATTGCAGAAGCATCAGGCCAACTGTAGGACGGATTGAGCTACCCACGGTTCCTAAGAGGAGGAGGCCATGTGTCACCTCAGGGTTATCTCTTAGGGAACAGTTATGCCTTCCTATGGTCTTCTTCTCTGAGGGACTTTGTCACAGAATCCTGGGCCTGGTGAGATTCAACGTGACTATGCCTCAAAACAATGGAGGTTGACTTTGGCAACTTCTCAGAAAACTGGAGGTTTTGAACCCTGAGCTACAAAAAGTATACAGCAGGCACACACTAGCCCCTGGCCCTAAGGGAAGGTTGACCAAAGGTGCTGTAACAAATGCCAACATCCGTGCAGGGACCTACATGTTGGGCAGAGCGGGAATCCTGCACTTCAAAATTGCCTTAAAATGACCAGGGTTGGCCGGGTGTGGTGGCTCACGCCTGTAATCCCAGCACTTTGGGAGGCTGAGGTGGGCAGATCACGGGGTCAGAAGGTAGAGACCATCCTGGCTAACACGGTGAAACCCCGTCTCTACTAAAAATACAAAAAATTAGCCAGGCGTGGTGGCGGGTGCCTGTAGTCCCAGCTACTCGGGAGGCTGAGGCAGGAGAATGGCGTGAACCCGGGAGGCGGAGCTTGCAGTGAGCCAAGATCGTGCCACTGCACTCCAGCCTGGGCGACCACCAAGACTCTGTCTCAAAAAAAAAAAAAATGACCAGGATTCTGCATTGTGGGAGTTTGGCAACAGAGCAAGTAACCAACTCTCCCTCTTATCATTATCTGGAAGCAGAAAAACAAGAATAGCATCATAACATAAAAATGGGGAAAAAACTCAGCAGTGAGCACAGTTATGCTTTAGCATCAAGTACCTTTATGTTGGTTTTCATCCATTTTCATGGCCATCGAGTCTCTACGCTTTATGATTACCTTATGACATTTTTAAAAATGAAATTAACTTCAACTTTCTAGCAGCTATCTGCTAAGACACAGCTGATGACTCATAAAATGTGAATCCCAACACTGGCAGGCCTGACTGGAAGCCATTCGTGAGCAGTGGTTACTCAGGCCCATGTTCCCCGAGTTACAATCTGCCACTTTTCAGAACCCAACACGTGTTTGTTCCCTCTCATTTGGGAAGCATATGGAACAAGGGCTCTCGAATATGGAACAAGGCCTGAAGAAGATGCCGCCCCGGACTTGTGGTAGCCCTGTGGGCCGGATAACCCAGTGGCCAGTATGAACCTCCCATTTTAGAGGCGTAAAAGTGTTTCTTTCCCAGCCTCCCTTTCAGTTACGGGTACGTCACCCAATTCTAGCCAGTGATACATAACGAGAGCACCTGAGAAAGCCTCCGCCTTCCTGCACTGAGGGAGAGCTGCTGGTGTTTCCCTTTCCCCTTCCTTCTTGCCTCGGATGTGGATGAGTATCCGGAGTTTTAGCAGCCATTTTGAAGACCTGAGGTAACAGCATGAGGACAAAGGTGAAGCAGTTAAGGATGAATGGAGGCAAAAGACAGAGAAAGATTTTAGGTCTTCAATGACATGTTTGAGCTACTGGGCCAACCTGAAAAGCACCCATCTCCAGACTTCTTTGTAAATCAGATGATAAAGAACCCTAGGATTTCTGCCTTGTGATTAGTTTGGTATTCTGTTACTTCCTACAGAAAGCATTCCTGATTGATGTGGGTATTGAGCACCTATGGCCTAGATCCTATATGCTACCTGTTCTTCCTGGGGCAAACGTGAAAAGTTGAACCAGGTAAGACATTCAGATATCTCATGCTAATTTTTCTAAGACCCTTTTCCACCTATCTCTTCTTCATCTTCACTTAAACTGCCCCACTTCCAGTCCTGATTCTCTCTCTCCAGGACCATGCAATAATTCCTTAATGTATTTCCCCACTTCCTGCCTTCCCATTCCACACTTTCCCTTTTGCCAGCATTAGGTCCCAGAGTACATTCCTAAACAAGTCATTCTTTTATTTCCCACTCACCCTAAACCTTCACTGGCTCCCCACTGCCTCCCAAGAAGAGCCAGACTCCTTAGGTTGAAACTCAAGGCAGGACTTTACAAAAGTGGTTAGGAAGGCAGGCTTTGGACTGAATCCCAGCTCTACCACCTCCCATACATCACACCTTGGCAAATTGCTTGACTTTTCTAAATGTCTGTTTTCCTATCCGTAAAATAAAAATAACAATGAGAATGTCTACTTCCTAATGTCCTGAGAAATAAGTGATGCAATGTAAGGTACAGCACTGTGCCTTACACACAGTAAGAACTCAGCAAACCTAACTGGTATTATTAATCTTCCTGAATCTAGTTTCAGCCAACTTTTCACCACTCTCTCTCGTAAGCACAGCCTGCACTCTTTCAAATGGGCATCACCCTTTCCTTCCTTTGCTAACTGCCTTACCCTGCCCATAGCATGCTCTCCTGCCACTACTCTCTTCGTTACATAAAATCCCAGGCATCGGCCGAGGGTGGTGGCTCATGCCTGTAATCCCAGCACTTTTGGGGGCCAAGGTGGATGGATCATTTGAGGTCAGGAGTTCGAGACCAACCTGACCAACATAGTGAAACCCTGTCCCTACTAAAAATACAAAAATTATCCAGGCATGGTGGTGGACACCTATAATCCCAGCTACTCGGGAGGCTGAGGCAAGAGAATCACTTGAACCCAGGAGGCAGAGGTTGCAGTGAGCCAAGATCGTGCCACTGCACTCCAGCCTGGGCGACAGAGCGAGACTCCATCTCAAAAAAAAAAAAAAAAAAAAAAAGGAAAAGAAAATCCCAGGCATCCTTCAAAGTCTAGCTCAAATGTCACCTCCTGCATGAAGGCTTTTCTGACCGCCGGGGTCATATGTGAATAGCCCCACCATTGAATTCACATGGCATTTGTTTATGTATCACTTTTCTGACACTTAGTACAGAAGTCAACTGGCTCCATTTCTCCACCCCAGGCTGACCTCATCCTTCCATCCTGGGCTGTCCCCATCTCTCCACTCCAGGCTGGCCCCATCCTTCCACCTGAGGCTGGCTCCATCCCTCCACACCAGGTTGGCCCATCCCACAATCCCAGGCTGGCCCCATCCCTCCACCCCAGGCTGGCTCAACCCTCCATCCTAGGCTGGCTCCATCCCTCTACTTAAGGCTACTGCTCATCTGGAGACAGTCTCCTTTAAGTGACTCTACCCTTGGGAGTTTCAGCAAATCCTCCCTGCCCTCTGGTCTCTGGATTGAGAGATAACAGCTCCTCTGCTTGTAGTAGCTACTGGTTCCTGCACCATACTTCATATTTCCCTACCCTTCACCTTCACCTTTGTTGACAAAACCTCAACAGTATTAGGGCCCTGCTGAAATGCTTGCCTGCGGGTAAATAAGGTGAAGGATTTGACTCTTCATGGACCTGTGCCCATGTGGATTCATGGCTAGAAGAGGGACCCTACTATGCCCCCGACTCCTGGGAAAATCCTTCCCTGGGTGGGTAGAGTCTCATAGACAACAGTTGCTGACTGCCAGAGGACAGCTGGCGGGCCCACACCAGCCCTGATGGGGTGTTGTGCAGGATCTGGAAGCAGCTAAGGAGAAGGAGTCCCACCCCACCACTCAGATGGTTTTGGTCTCTTGGAGAGCTTCAAGGAGGACCTCACCCTCCAAGGACAGAGAGACAGCTTTTCAGTGGCTGTGATTAGACTTCGACTCCTCTGTATTTCCTGCGGGGCTTAGGGGACCTTCTAAGTTCAGATTTGTCTCTTCCAACCCACACCACTCACTGGCTGAAAAATGATTGAATAGTAGTCTATCCAGGCATGGATTCCTCTTCAGCCAGAATGAGTATGACCCAACATGGAAGTCTTCTTTGATATAATCTTAGGAGGAGGGATGTGGAAGTCAGTTACACAACAATGATGTAGTTTAATCGCATTTTGGTAAAATACTGTGAATATGTTTGTGAATACTCCTGGAAGGGCCTAGGAAGGAAAAGCACACACTGTTAATGCTCCCAGGGAAGACAGGTGGGAGATATTCACTTATTAAAGGAAAAAAAAAGTTGATTTTGTAATTAAAAAAAAAATCTACAGCTGTCTTTGCTATTCAGCAGGACTAGCTTTAGATCAACGAATTGCCTGGGGCAACGGACTAACAGGTGGGTTTGGCTTTTCTTCTGGGCTGCTGTGGTTCCACCAGCTGACCCCTCCTCTTCCAAAAGCCTAACGTATGAATTCACCACGTTGCAGGAACCTCGGCTTTCAGTGCGTGTGGACTTAGCTGGGGGCTGCACACCCTGGAAAAGCAAAGGCAACTGCTGCTCCAGAAGCCCCACTGGGAGAGGCCTGCGGGGCGACTACCTCTTGACCTGCAAATTTCCTTCCCTCTTTGCCCCTAGTCCGGACCATTTCCTCTAGCAAGGAGTTCGAAGGATGTAGACTCCTCGAGCCCCCATCACGCGAAATAGGTGGTTTGTGCTGCTTCGAACTTGGAGGTGATGCGCAGAAAACAATGACCAAGGTGACGCAATAATGCCAGAGCTGGACGGGGAGCCCAGCACCTGCCAAGCGGCCCCGTGCCCAGTCACCCACTCTCGAGGATGCTGGATCGCCCTGCTCTGCACCGGCCAGCGCTCCACCATTCGGGAGCTCCGGATTTCCCTCTTGGAGGTGGAGACGTCGTTTCCACAGTGATCAAGGGACGTCTGAAGGAACTGAGTGTGGATCACCTGACCAAGGCGACAGAACCTGCCACGGAGAAGGGCCCCAGAGAGCGTCCTCTGCTCCTGGGGAGCTCCCCGTGCCAGGGCTGGACACACAGCTAGCCAGGGCAGGAGAGGGTCCCCACAGATTCCCCGAGGACCCGGCTTGTGAACGAACATCCGCTCTCACCCCCGCAGCCAATGCCTGGGCCTCTAGAAGAACAGCGGGTCCGCCTCGGCAGGCAGGTGGGCCCAGGACCCTGGCTGCGCACGGGTGCAGGGACCCGGGCACCGCAGCGCTAGCACACGCCACTCCCCACCACTTCCGGCCCAGCAGCCTCGGTGCCCCGGGCTAGGACCCGGGAAAGAGCGAGCAGCGGGAGGAGGGGAAGGGGCGTGGGCAGAGGCCGAGACACCAGGCATGGACCCTGGCCTCCCTTTGGGTTTGGGGAGTAGAAGAGTGAGGGCGACAGGCAGAGGACGGAGACCAGAGGCAAGGCCCGGAGTTCAGCAAGAACTGAGAGCATCCAGGGTGGCGCTGGTGTCCACGGCGCCAGGGGCGGAGCAGTTCGAGGCACTGAAAATAGCGTTAGGGATGAGGTTCATGTCCAGACCCTGGAGCAGATGAAAGAGCGCAAGGGGTGGCAGCAGATTTCGCACGTCACCCTGGAGAGCAGTAGAAGGCGCCGCGACCCTGCGGCCACCCTCCTTCTGGGGGCGCCCGGTGGCCGGGGCTGGCAGCGCTCAGAGACGGCTGGGAGGACCGAGAGCCTTCGTCAGAGGCCACAGGGAGGCGAACAGGGGGTCGACTATATGGCATGCCCTTGGCGGAGATCTGGCGCTCTCCACCACTACAAGGTCAGCTAAATAGGTGTGCAGCCTCCTGGGAACGTCCAGCGTGGAGCTCAACAGCCAAATAGCCACGAACTCATAAAGCGAACCACGGCGAGGACACCTAGCGCGGCTACACGAGGACCACAAGACAGCGGTGCATCCAGCACCGCGATTCAACTGCGGAGGCCGAGGTCAGCGGTACCCGCAGGGGCACAGGAACACGTGGGTCACGCTGTGCAGGGGCCGGGTCCTGCTGCTGAGGTGGATAAGTAGGGAGTTACCCAGGACCCCCTCCGAGGTGTCAAGAGCACAGCCCACGATGAACAGCGGCTTGCAGCACCCCAGGAATGACCGCCCAGGAGGAAGCCTTTGCCTTTCGAGCGGATGAGTGGCCCCAGCAGCCGGTCTGGGACGCACAGGCGGCCTGGGAGCCAGCTCAACCTAGCAGGGAGGGAGGCTCTGGTGGTGGCGCCCGGTGTGCTGGCGCTGCACACAGGCCCAGCAGGGCTCCCGGGTTCCCCTGCAGCTCTCTGAACATGTGATCTTCCTCAGCTCTGAATCAGAACGCCTCCTTCGCCACCAGATTACCATCCCATGGGCAGCCCGGGTGGAGCCTAATTCCCGGCGGGCAGGTCATTTTGCTTTGGCCCAGCTGCACCGTGAGACTGCTCCTTGTTAATCTCGCTCTAGGCTTTCGGAAGACATCCCCTCCTCTCCCAGAAACTAACGTTGATGTGTCAGTGCCACAAGCTCTGTAGTTATGTCATAGAAAGGGTTTGCTGAAGGAGTCTGGGATAAGAACAAACTAGGGTAGAAGTAAATAGGAATTGAGGTCTGTCCTTAAGAGTCAGTTATTGGCCCTGCGCGGTGGCTCAGGCCTGTAATCCCAGCACTTTGGGAGGCCAAGGTGGGTGGATCACTACATCAGGAGTTCGAGACCAACCTGGCCAAGATGGTGACACCCCGTCTCTACTAACAATACAAAAATTAGCCGGGTGCGGTGGCAGGTGCCTGTAATCCCAACTACTCAGGAGGCTGAGGCAGGAGAATCGCTTGAACTCGGGCGGCAGAGGTTGCAGTGAGCCAAGATCACACAACTGCACTCCAACCTGGGTGACAGAGTGAGACTCCGTCTCAAAAAAAAAAAGTTATTGCCATTGAAGGTGCTTACCAGTGGTCCAGTTTTCCACCTGTAGCTGCTCCTGGGTCTTCTTTCTAAGGTCAGTGTGCCCCTAGCATTTGCCCTGCAAAAGGCAGTGGCTTCAGAAGGACAGTCCCCTCACAGGAACCTGCTTGTGGGCATACGGGCAGTGGCCAGGCTACCATATCTGACTGCCAGGGCATATTATGATGCAGCACTGCACCTCCTACCCAGGTGGTGGGCCAGCATTCTAGGAAGAAGACCCCAGAGGGACTGTGGTATAGGCTAGGGAGGAAAGCCCAGTGCCTGACTGCTAACCTAGAGCTCAAACCTGGAGTCTTTGCTTAATTTTTCCAGGTCAAAAGAGTGTTTTCATTGCTTGGCAATAACTGGGCGGGGAGCAAAGAGGAGTTTCACCGTATAGCTTTCCATTTTTCACTGGATGTCATTTCAGAAGGAGGAGATGGGTCCTGAGACCAGGGGATTTAGTTATCAGCAAGTTAAGAAGAGGATATTGTGAGAGCTGAGGGAGGCAGAGAGGCAGAGAATGCTTAAAAGCAGAGACTGTTTCTCCTTTGCTTTTTTTTTGACTCCAGTTTCTTTACTCCAGCACCAAACATAAAAACGAAACACATTTGACCTTTCATTGTTAGGCTCCTCTGGAGAGCTCTCTGTGAGACTTATCAGGTTGACAGCCCTGTGGAGAGTCTGTGCAAACTCCTGTTATCCACCTGAGCCTGGAGTTTCACTGCAAAATGACCAATTGTGTGAACTCCGAGAACCCACAGTGGGTGGGAAATAACAACACACTGCAGCCTTGTAGGAGCTCGGTGCAGACTGCCTTCTGCAGTGGAATTAGCCAGGGTTCTCACCATCATCTTTCACTTTGTAGTGATTGACCAGGAGATGGGTACTTGAATCCCACCAGTTCCCCTTCATTGAGGCAGAAGGGGCTTCAGAGAGGAGATATAGATAATATGAAAAATTAGCAGAAAAAGGCATGAAAAATAAAGTGTGGGAAAGAGAGGAATTATGTTAAAAGCAAAGAAAATTCAAAAACCTGTGAGAGGAATGCATGTTCAGTTTTCAAAATAAGATTTTCTGCTTCCAAAGATTGATAGGAAAATGTGCAGTCTTAACAAGATTGTAACTCTCATCCATCCAAATATTTTACATTTCCCACATCTGTATACTAGTTTCCTTTGCAGGATAAGTGGGTCGCTGAAAAGGTATACATATGTCCATTTTTAGATGGTATTTTAGGTGTACCGAAAAATCTTTATGACTCCATCATGAACATTTTAGAAACTTCATGATTTTGCTTATAGACCCACATGTGGGATGTTAGACCTTCCCAAGTTATATGTGAGAAATGGGTGATAAAATGCAAACATTTAAATAACTGATATTTGATGGTATAGAAATTAGGCATGAAGTTCTCATTTTGATGGACCCATGGATTTAGGCACATGCAGTCTTGGGGAGTAGACAGCTTGATGCTATATATTTAAATGCTGGCCTTACTGAGGTTGGGGGCAGGGGGTCACAGAAGACCCAGAATGAACAGTTCATTTCTAGAATAAGGTGGAGTTGACAAATCTAGATGGAGTAGCCTGTTTTCCTTGACATGATTTATCCTTGCTTTGACTCTGGTTATCCTGAGGTTGTGGAGTTACCCCATGTGTATAACTGGCTTGGTTTATTAATCCCGTGACTGAAGACTGGGCTGATTTAGTATTTATTGAGCACCCACAAAATGTCAAACAGTATAAACCCCAGCATGTAGAGCTTCACATGTGATTCAGCAACATGTGCATTTTACACAGCAAAGACATCAACGCAGGGAGGTAAATCAATCAAGAACCTGCCTTGGGAAACAAAGGTGCTCCTGACCTCTCGTCTGTGAGGGGACAGGCCCTGTGTTCAACCCCAGATCTAACCACACTCTTGAGGTTAGTTTTGTGCCTTGCATTTGAAAGACTACTAGATGTTCAGGAAGGAAATCACAGGACAGAGGTGGTGGGTTAGCCTACCTGAAAAAACAAACCTGGAACTTAGCTATCCCAGTAAAACAGCAGATTGAAAATTCACAAGGACAAAAAATCAGATGGTTATAGGAATTGGAATCATTACCTTAGCATCTCTCATAATTGCTATTTCCAGGTAGCTGTTGGAGCATACATTGAAACGCTCTTCTGCCAGTTTAGTGAGATAAATCTATTGAATGGCTGCCAAAAGTGAGACCTGGTGACAATGCTTGCAAAGAGGATTACAGAACCTCCCATCAGCTTTGAGAAGGGCTGCTGCCAAGTACCACTGGCTCAGTTCCCTGTTTGCCTGCCTATATGACTCCTTGCAGGAAGAGCCCTATGTATACATCTTAGATGCTTGATATTAACCAAAATGAATTATTAAATTTTTCTACCTACAATCCTATGCAGTTCTCTCTGGGACTCACCTCTGATTTTTTTGAAATTTGGTTTGATTTATAAACTAGTCCAAAACAGATACCAGATGTTGTGAGAATTGCTGTTCAGTTGCCAGTTTTCATAATATATAAAGATGTTTATAAGCACAACCTAATTCTCCAACCTCTTTAGACTGTTTATAAAGTCCATGTAAGTGTTTCAAACTTAAGTTGTAGGCATGACAGAAACCAGTGGCAACTTTTCCAGTAGTTAATGGAGATGCTTGTTCTTCATAGTTGATATAAACTTAATCAGGGAGCACTTTTTCTAACACCCTGACAACCAGGATTCAAAATAATTCATGCTATGTAAATTATTTTTGGTTTTTTGTTTGTTTGAGACTAGGTTTTGCTCTGTCACTGAGACTGGAGTCAGTGGTGTAATGACAGCTCACTGCAGCCTAGTAATCCTCCCAGGCTACAGTGATCCTCCTGCCTTGGCGTCCCAAGTAGCTGGGACTGCAGGTGTGCACCATCATGTCCAGCTATTTTTTGTAGAGATGGAGTTTTGCCGTATTTCCCAGACTGGTCTTGAACTCCTGGGTGCAAGCAATTCTCCCCCTTCAGCCTCCCAAAGTTTTGGAATTACAGATGTGAGCCATGGTACCAGGCCATGGTATGTAAATTTATAATACAATTGAACTAAGGTTGAATGATGACATTCCTTCTGACTTGATTGGACTGATACAAAAGAAATAAGTAAGTAAACTGTTGAATGAATCCCTATATATTTGGATTTCAATAATTTGCCTCTGATTGAGCAGGTATTGTCTGAAGACTAAAAGAGTATTCTCTAAGTATGACATGTAACACCATCCAATTCAACTCCAAATTATTAACACCTTTCACAGGTGCAACTAAAGCTTTATTCGGACGTTTCTAAGATTCATTAGAAAGAGGATATTTCCCCACCCCCACCCCCACCCCCACCCAACCCCGAGACCAAGTCTTGCTCTGTCACCCAGGTTGGAGTACAGTGGCACAATCTCAGCTCACTGCAACTCTTCCTCCCCAGGTTCAAGAAATCCTCCAGCCTCAGCCTCCTGAGTAGCTGGGATTACAGGTGTGCACCGCCACACCCGGCTAATTTTTGTATTTTTAGTAGAGATGGGGTTTCACCATGTTGGTCAGGCTGGTCTCAAACTCCTGACCTCGTGATCTGCCTGCCTTGGTCTCCCAAAGTGCTGGGATTACAGGTCTGAGCCACCACTCCCGGGCCTAGAAAGGATAATTCTTAAGGTGCTTAATTTTGGTTTCACATTAAAATCCCCTGAAGTGCTTTGGAAAATGCTAGTGTCCAGGCACCATCTCAAATCAATTAGACTCTTAGGAGGAGGGCCCAGACATCAATTAAAAAAAAAAAGTTCCCCAGGTGATTCTAGGAGTAGCCAGGGCTGAGAACCAGTGATTCAAACCTTCCAACAAAGAGCCCACAATGAATCAGATCCCTCCCCAAATAATCCCTCTCCTTCCCCCTACCACCTACACTCTCCACACATGACCATCAAAGGAATCAAAGGGAATGGGAAATGTCTGGCCCTGAGCCTCCCAAGTAATAGAGCTGCTAGAAGCAGAGAAGCTATCCTCAGGATGCCTGGGAGATGAACTCATCTGGGGCAGGGTGGGCTGCAGTGTTAGCACACAGGTTCTTTGTTCTCCAATCCATGGATGAAGCTCAAGTTCATTTAGCACCATTGCCAGAGATAGCCTCCATACCATCTTTGCCTGCCTTTTCCTTTCTCCCAAACTAGCCTTTCCTACCCTTTATTGTGTGCAAAAAGTCTAGCCCAGTAACTACTAAAGAATCCTATGCTAACCAGCCCAACCGTGATCACTCCCACTCCCACCATGGTTATTGACATGAATGTAATAGGACTAAACACTTGTCATTCCCGTATCATCCCTCTTTCCTTTTAGTGCACATTTTAATGAAGGAATGAGCTTATTTCTGAGAATAAGAGAAGCAGGAGGAGGGAAACAGTGATTCTTGTGTTCAGTGAGTTGGGAAAGTAGTTGAACCTTATGGATGGTGACTGAGTTACTGGGAACACAGAGGCTGATGTGACAGCTGGATATTATGTATCATTTCCCAAGACTCCTGTCCTCACTGCCCAAGTTGCTGTTCCAACAGTGTGGAGACCCTTGTCCCAAGGCACTTGTCCTCATTTACAGAACTCACAGGAGGTTAAGGTGATGATTATCAGCCTGGTATCATGCTCCACAGTCTTCACCTGTTCCCTTAACCCTGGAAGTAATTAGTGTTTGATCTACACAGCATGTGGATGGTAGCTTATTCTTCTGTTCTGTCCTTAAGTAAACTTCTGCTGGTTCTTGATTTCTGGGTTGATCATGTTCCAAGAATCACTACAGAGCAGGTGCTGAGCAGTCAGATGACAGCTGTTGATCTGTTGCAAGTGAGCAATTAGAGACTGCAAGAGAATGCCATGCCACACAGTTTACATTGAGTATTCAGAAAACCAAATATTTGAGTGCCCACTTTGTGGCAAACACTGAATGTGTACACACACATACACAAACACACATACACAGAGGATGTCTGCCCTTATGTACAATTAAATGCCCTCTTAAGTGAATTGGACCTTTTCCTCTTTATCTGTTTTTATCTATCTCTTCATTGACTAATTCGTCTCAAAATTTTTAGATAGTAGTTGGGGAGGAAAGGGGAGAAACAAAAGCAAGACCTTTCTAAAGGGAGCTTGTAGGTGTTTTTGTACTATAAACTCAAGTGGTTTTAAAAGGACCCTTTGGGCATATAAAGGTCTTATTCAGGAAATGCTGAAATCCTAGACATAGATTTCTAATACATATTTACCTGAAATTCTAGAAATGCAAGGGTTCAAATGCACTAAGCAATATCAGGATCCTCTCAGCTGAGTCCTTTTCTGAAGGCAAACTGAAAATCTTTACCAAGCCCAATGCATTTCTTTTAAATCCCATTCACACTGTGCATTTCACCAATGAGCAGGAGGAGGGGATGCCAGGAAGGCAATCATGGTTCTGAAATACTTTTCTGAACATGGAGAAAAAGTTTTTGTTTGTCCTTCAAGGGCATAAAGAAGAAATAATAAATCCTCTTTCCTCTCTCTGGCTTACCCCCAAGCAAAGAGCAAGACTCTCACCAAAGCCCACTTAACATTTTACAAAGACACAAGGACAAGACAGACAGCCGGACAAGAGGGCTGGGCTGGAAATGTTGCCCTCTGTTGGCTTTGCTAGCTCTGGTGCTGAGAATAAGCTCTCCAGGTTGACCTCAAGTGGTGCCCTCGGAGGCCAGTGGAAATGCAGCTCCTTGACCAAGGCCTGGCTAAGTGGCATCAGATGACCACGCTGACGGTCATATTCTGGCCATGGGGCGCGATCTTGCGTGGCCAAGCGAGCAACAGTTTGCGCAGCTCCTCGCGGAAGCTGTCGTGCAGCCAGGCGTAGATGAAGGGGTTGTAGCAGGCCGAGCTCATGGCGAGCCAGTGGCAGAGCAGCTGCACCAGCCCAAACGCGTAGGGGTCGATGGCGCGCGGGTCGAGGTCCCGCAGCAGGTTGAAGACGTGTAGCGGCAGCCAGCAGACGGCGAACACCACCACGACCACTACCAGCAAGCAGAAGGTGCGCCGGCGCCGCGCGCGGTGCCAGTCGGCCTGGCTCTGGGTCACGCAGCCGGGCACCACGCGGTTGCGGAGCTTCACGGACACCCGGACGTAAGACAGGAGGATGACCAGCAGAGGGAGCAGATAGGTGACCAGCAGCAGCCCCCAGGCGTAGAGCTGGCGCTGGCGCTCCTGGGAACCCCAGAACTCCTCGCAGAGGCGCACGTCGTGTGGCTTGAGCTCCACGTGATAAGTGTGCATGGCAGCAGGCAGCGCCAGCACCGCGGACAGCGCCCAGATGGCCAGCACCGCGTACGCGCTGAGGCGCAGCGAGATGCGCCGCCGCAGCGGGTGCACCAGCACGACGTAGCGGTCCACTGCGATGGTGGTGAGCGTGAACACCGACACGTAGACGGTGACCGGCTGCAGGAAGAAGACCAGGTGGCACAGGCCGCCGCCGAACACCCAGCCGCGTGGCTCGAAGGCGTAGGCCAGCGTGAGCGGCACGCAGGCGGCGCACATGAGCACGTCGGACAAGGCGAGGTTACCGATGAGAAAGTTGGTCACGTTGTGCAGCCGGCGCACCCGCGCGATCACCAGCACCAGCAGGCAGTTGCCCACCAGCCCCACGACCACAACGACGCTGTAGAGCAGCACGATCAGCCCCTTCAGCTGATGCACCAGCTGCAGGCTCTGGAAGGGCGTGACGGCCGGAGCGTCCGCGCCAGCCACCGACCCGTTGCCCGCCGAGGCCTCTGCGCTCTGGTTGGCGGGAGTTGTGACCGCCGGCGGCAGCCCAGAAAATAAGTCAGAAACCCTGGGGCCCGGAGTGGGCGATGAGGCCATGGCCACCTGTTCGAAGGTAATCAAAGTCCGTCACTTCCCTTCCCATTCTCCATCCGACCTCTTACACCAGCCGCGCCCCTCCCCCATCGCCCGAGTCCTCCCTTGGGAATAACCGGCCACAGAACAACAGCAAAAGTAACAAAAAGGGCTGTCCTCCCACCCCTGTAAAATAAACCTAAGCACGGTTAGAACACACGGCTTATTTAAACGCTTCCGCCTCTATTTACGGTCCTCGCAGTCCACGCAGGCAAACCCAGGAGCGCGATCCTACCTGGGAGTGGGGTTTGGAGGGCGGGAAAGCGCTCGCGGGAAGAAGGGGCAGAATTTCTGCTGGCCCCCGGCAGTCCTCTGCCCACGTCGGTGATCCGGTCTCGCTTCTCCACGGGAGCTGAACGGATCCAAATGTTCCCAGTGGGCTAGCAGCTTCTGAGGGGGACTGGGAGCGCCTCCCCTCAGCTCCGCCCCCCACTCCAGCTCCCATGTATGGAAAATGGGGGTGGAGCGCGCTCTGCCCTGCTCGGTGCTTAGAGAACTAGTGAAGAGGACAGTGTGGGGAGGATGGAATCCGAAACGGGAGAAGGGGCCGGCAAACCTGGCCAGAGCAGCGAGGAGGACGAATCTCGACTGCAGGAGCTTGCACGGCCCCTGAAGGGTCACGCTCCGGAGGAGCGCGCAATGGAGGAGGGCAGAGGAGAGGCGCGAAGCGTCAGGCTATCGGGAGGACCCGGTGCAGTCTTAGGAGGGAAGGAGCAGGGGAGGAAGTAGCGGTGGGAGATTACAGTGCAGCTGGGGGCTTGAGAGAGGCACGACTGACCCGTTCTTAAGCGCTGGGTCCTGCCTAGCGGCCAGGTTGCGGAAGGCAGAGACGCTAGAGGGCTCGGGCTGGGATTTAACAGCAAAGCCTGGCGCTGGTCGCGGACCTGAGGACCCTCAGCCTCCCGCGCCCCCGCCACACGAGCCCCCTGTTTGGCTGCAGCGCGCTCAGCGGGCGGCGGGTCCGGCCAAACCAACGGCAGAAGTCAGCACCACGGACAGCTCCCGCTGGCTCTGCCGCGCCTCGGGCGGATGCTGTAGGGAGGGGCAGGGGACAACGATTAGAGAATTCCTGCCCCTCTCTGGATCCGAGGTATTTGGAGAAGTAACCTTGCCCGGTTCAGAGCTGCCTCGCCGCCTGCTTTCTGGACTGGGTCTGAGAAGAGTAGGGTGGAGTGGAGGCAGCTGAGTCGGGGGCTTGGGGGTCGGAGGGTCATGACTTTTGCTCCTCTTGCGGGTCACCGCACTCAGTGCCAAGTACGGCGTCGTCTTTTACCTCCTGGGGTCAGAAAATGCAGCCCTCCTGCCAGTTATTCTACACAGGCACACTTCAGTGTCTGGCCCAGCGACTCCCCGGCTCACCCTTTCTCTCGCTTTCTTTCTCGGCTACCGCGACCTGTGCCGTACTGCCTGTTTCTCCCAGCACAGAGTAGTTCCTGGACTGGGACTCGACCCTCTCCCTCCTTGAATGAACACCCACAGGCCTCTTCACTTCATTTTAGGATTTTAAAAAAATACTGGTAATTGCAGATTTCAGCTAGGGCAACAAAAGTAACAAACATTTGAGAAGCTTAGGCGTTTCATAAAATCTTCAGTAGTATTAAGTCCTCATTGAAATGCAAATTAGCCTGGCCCATGGGGCAGGAGCCAGGGGAGGAGGGGCCTTTGTAAGCTCCCTCCTTAGAAGCTATCTCATTCCCTCAGCCTCTTGTTTCCTTTTTCCAGAGGATGGAGCTTCATTGTCTCCTCTCTGATAAGTCCTTGTACTTTGTCCTCTGTGGCTGCAGATATTTCAGTTAGACTGGAAACTAATAGCAATTTATTCCATCCTCCAAATTTAAATGAATCACTCATATAGAAAAAAAAGTCAACACTGGAACAAAAGTAATCAATGTAATGCACCTCTATCCATCTTAAACTGACGGTCCCTGAGTTATAATCAATTTAGCTAAAACCAGTGTGTGTGTGTGTATACATGTATATGTTAGCACAAGATCTCACTCTGTCACCCAGGCTGGAGTGCAGTGGTGCAATCATGGCTCACCGCAGCCTTGACCTCCCAGGCCAAAGTGATCCTCCCACCTCTCAGCCTCTCAAGTAGCTGGAACTACGGGAGTGTACCACCATGCCTGACTAATTTTTGTTTGTTTGTTTGTTTGTTTGTTTGTTTTGAGGCGGAGTCTCGCTCTGTCACCAGGCTGGAGTGCAGTGGTGCGATCTCAGCTCACTGCAACTTCTGCCTCCTGGATTCAAGCGATTCTCCTGCCTCAGCCTCCTGAGTAGCTGGGACTACAGGCACGTGCCACCATGCCCAGCTAATTTTGTATTTTTAATAGAGATGAGGTGTCTATTGTATTTTTAACATTCACCATGTTGGCCAGGATGGTCTTGATCTCTTGACCTCGTGATCCTCCTGCCTCGGCCTCCCAAAGTGCTGGAATTACAGGCATGAGCCACTGCAACCGGCCTTATTTTTTGTAGAGGTGAGGTTTTGCCATGTTGCCCAGGCTAATTAAACTCCTGGGCTCAAGCAATCCTCCTGCTTCAGACTCCCAAAGTTTTGGGATTACAAGCATGAGCCACTGCACCCAGCCTCAGTATTATATATATTTTTTTATTGCAGAGTTCTAAATAGGATACAATCAGTGCCTGCCTAATACCTTGCCCAGTAATTTTTCTCATCATTTTCACCTGCAGGTTTTTATGCATGCAAGAGCAGGGGCACTCTTTTGTTTCAAAATCTCTTAAGCAGAGCAAATTGCAGTAAAGTCAATGAAAAAGGATTTCGGATGTTGTTAGGCGTCCTAACTAGAGCCATCATTCTGGTCAATATTATTATATTGGTCAATTATCATATGTAATAGTAAAAGTAATAATATGAAGAAAACTTTTTCAATAACTAAAGGTCATGCAAACATGGATATTTGAAGTTTCAATATTGGGGCACCCTCCAGAGGAAAGAGTTGATCATTTGCCAAATTCCAAATAAACTCAGGCAAGCATTTTAGTATTATCAATATTTGCAAGGTGGAAAGGAAGTGAACAGCTCTCCTTTGAAGAGGGAATGAAGATTTAATGTAGCCTATTAGAGCTTCATTCCCTCTTCTCACTGGAGTTAAGGCTAGTCCCTCTCCCAGCCAGCACATCATGATTATATCATACTAATGTTCAGACTGTCCAGTACTAAGAGTGCTCCAAAAACCTGAGAGAGCATAAATAAACAAAAAAATTAGGATAAATGAAGGAAAGATAGTACTTCATACAGTAGACAGCAAGCTAAGGGATTTTACTTCCTTCCATTCTCCAAAAGTCCATCAAACCAAGGCCAGATACTTTCGCATGGTATTTCCAAGCAGTGTGCACTCCCTTTCTGACATGCCCTCATTTTTTCGGTCTAGCTTCCCACTTCTGTCCATTTTACTCCCTATGTACAAGCCAAACTTTGCTGCGTGCTGAGATATCCTCACCATTCCTGTCTAATTCCTCTCTTAGGCTTTATTTCTTTTCTCCAGAATGTCAGTTGTTTAATCCCCACTCAACTCTACCTGTCCACATTCTTCACATCCTACAAGACCCAACTCAAAGACGACTGTTCTCAAAGACTTCTCCCTTCCATAATCTTTCTGTCCTTTATTACTTTCTACCTTGAAATTACAAAAGTGTTTAGCTTCCCTGCCTCCACCAACCCTGACTGTGAATTCTTTATGGACAGGGCCAATGTCTTGATACATTTTGTACCTACAACATGCCATGAGCCCAGCAGATACCCAATACATGTCTTTTTCTTTTCTTTTTTTTTTAATTGAATGAATAAAAATTACCATTTACTTAGGGCTTTAGGCACACCAGGCATTGCTAAGTACATCACATAAATTCTCATTTGATTCCCCTCAAAATTATTATTATACCCATTTTACAGATGAGAAAACTGGCTCTCAAGTCTAAGAAACTAACCAGAATGGTACATCTAATATGCAGTGGGGTTAGAATTTCATCTTAGATCTGCCTGATTCTGGTACCACACCACTCAACCACTACACTTTACTGCCTACGAATGAATGGCAGATGTACCTGCAAAGACTGAAAATACAAGCAGGTTCAAATGAGATTGAATAAATATTGGAACCCCTCCGTCCATGGTTTATTAAAGAAAGCTCTAGAAAATTTAGCTACAACTCACACCTTATCATGTTTAAGCTAAACAGATCTTTATGCCTTACCCCAAATGTTTCTTGCTTACATCCCATATAGGAAACAAAACCTTGGGTCATGGTGTTACTGGCAGGTCTTTGCTCCCAGAGCTCCCAAGATGGTGATGGGCTGCTCCTAAGATGGCGGCAAGCCTCTTGCACTCTAACCTGGAGTTCTGGCCTCAGGGATTCCAAGGAATGGAACCTTGGGCCGTGTAGTGACTGTTATAGCTCTATTAGAAGCCGTGGGTCACGGAAGAGAACCGTGGAGCCCAGCGACTAGGGTTCAGCTCGATTAGGATGAACCCGGGCATTTTGCTGCGCAGGAACAACGGGGAGACTGTATCCCGATCCGGAGCAGCAATGGGCGCCGGGCTGGATCAGAAGCGCAGCAGACACCCTGCTGGATCCAGATGAGTGGAAGTCATAGGCGGGTCTGTGACGGCAGCAATCAGCAGTGGTGGACGGCGAGTGAAAGCTCAGCTCGAGCTGGAACAAACACAGACCAGAAGAGTGTGCAGTTGCAAGACTTCATAGTGAAAACAGAGCTCCCATACAATAGGAGGGGACCCAAAGGGGGTTGCCACTGCCAGTTCGAATGCCTGGGTATATACCCCCATCATTGTCCCTCCCCCTGTGCGCTCAGGCAATAGATGATCTGACTATTTCTTTACTTCCTGTTTTTAGCCTAATTGGTATTTTAGTGAGCCCTCTTTACTACCTGATGGGTCGGGTGTGAACTGAGTTACAAGCCCCGTGTTTAAAGGTGGGTGCGGTCACCTTCCCCAGCTAGGCTTAGGAATTCTTAGTAGGCCTAGGAAATCCAGCTAGTCCTGTCTCTCAATAGGAACTTCAGGGGATGGTCTTTGCTGATGATAATAGGTGACACTATGTGGAAAACAGAAGACAGAGACGACAGAACTAAGGACTGCAGTTAGAGTTTTAGGAATCTTGGTTAAAGGTTATCTGAGGGATCTGAAGGGATCTGAAGATTTGACATCAACTAAGTCCATGCTGATACATTGTAGTTAGCCCAGATATACGGGAAACCACTAGATATCAGTTTTGACTACTAGCACAAAGAGCTAATTGCTAGCACAATTGTTTGACACTTGTCTAAGGGCAGGTAATAAGAGGGCAGAAGCCCTCCCAAAGTGAGTTTTGTCTTCTACACCTGCCCTGTGTGCTTTCCAAAGGCTAGATGTCCCCATGGCTCCTCAGGCTGAGCCAGGCACCAGTTCTAAAAGCTTTTCCAAGTCACTGCCTATCCACACCAGGACTGGCCAACTAAGACAGAACAGCCTGTGGCAGGCAGTGTAAGAATGAATACAACCATTCATACAAATGTGAAGAAAACCCTGTGTGTTTCCATCAGATGTCTTTGAGTAAGTGCCTTTTGTCGCACCCTCCAGACATACTCATTATTAGATTTTGAAAACATTTCATTTCCCAGGATGTCCTCTCACTCTTGAAATAGCAACAGGTCAAGTGGAGAAAAATGATGTTTTAAAAAAGAAGAAAGCCCAGACATAAGCCAAAGTCAATTACCAAAGGGAGTAGATAACTCATCACAAAGTTCCAAGTCAAAATGAGAGGTGACAACATGCTAGCAGCCCTCGCTCTTGGGGCCTCCTCAGCCTGGGTATCCACTCTGGCAGCGCTTGAGGAGCCCTTCAGCCCGCCACGGCACTGTGGGAGCCCCCTCTCTGGGCTGGCCGA